AAGAGAGAAGCTGATTGGTTGATATGGGCAATTGCTCCAGATTATGTCTGCTCCAGTTTTGATAAATTCCCCCCAATGTATAAAACATAATGTCTGGGGGACCGCTGCAGAGGAGGGGGAGAGATGCTGGAATGAGTGGTCTAAGAGCAAGCCTGCTAAGAGTATTGGGTGAATATAACATTTTACATTTTTTTGCATCTGGATCAAAACAAGCACTTAACCCTTGCAGTGCGGGGGTAGTCCAACTGCAAGGGTTAAGAAATGTTTTTCCCCCCGGAGTTCTTCTTTAGACAGTATGTAAACCCTAACAAAGAACATCCATTGCTTGGTCACCTTTGGGCTGTTGAATACACCATGGAAAGCATTTATATCCATTGATCCTACCAGAAGTCTTGTCAGCTGATCACTTCCTGTGCTCTTTCCTACATTCTTATCAGTTACATTGTTCTCAGTTATCTCCGAGGACTGCAGAACCTCTCCCATCTATGTTTGGGAGAAAAGGAGAGGGGGAGGTTTCTATAATCCTGTCCTGTTTCTGTTGGCCTGATACAATAGGGTGAGTGAGTGTTGTCACTTAGGACAGGAAGTGTGTTACTGATAGGTGAAAATAAAGGGAAACACAGTGAAAAGGAAAGCTATCAGCCACAACGCCCAAGGACTGGTAACCTGCAATATTTGACATTTTTGTTTTTGGATTTATATATTTTTTAATCACTCTTATTGGTAATTATAGGCAAAATGTTTTTGTTTTTGGAAAGAGTGGGGACAGATTAGAACCTCTTTTCTAATTATTGTCTGTTTTCACATTTGGGAGATGTTCCCTCACTTCTCATCACAGTCACCACAGCGGCATGCAGTGCACATCTCTCCAGAGTACGAGTACCAATATTTTTTTTTGGTGCTCACTGATACTAAATACCGATACTGGAAGTCGTGCTATTAAGGTCAGTCATTACACATCGCACGGCTTCCAGATTAGCAGGAAAGCCGTCTCCATGCTTCCTCGTCACCAGGTGATGAGGGAGAATGGAGCCAGCTTTCTAGCCAGTCAGGAAGCCGGGGGGCTGCCTGGCTTCCTGATTGGCCAGCTTCTGAACCAATCAGGAAGCCAGGCAAGGGCACCAAGTGACAAGGGAGCATGGAGACAAATTCCTGGCCAATCAGGAAGCCGGGGGGGTGAGTCTTTACATGCTGCCCGGCTTCCTAGTTGGCCGGGAAGCCAGCTCCATGCTCCCTGGGGACGAAGTGTAATGACTCGCTGCCTGGCTTCCTGATACCGGAAGGTCCGGTTTCGGGATAGGCATCGGGAACATTTGGGCGAGTACTTGTATCGGTATCGGTGCATCCCTAATATATACAGTATATATACATACATTTTGAAGGCAACATTTTGTGGCACGTTGGTGTTTAAATTGCACAGGTTTTATAACTCATTGCAAACACTATACCCTTAATAAATCACCCTTAGGGGCATATGTGGTCTTTTATTCATGTCAGAACTTCTTCCCTCCCCAAAAAAGTCAATGGGAATACAAAACCAGCTTGAAGCAAGTTGATGGAGCATAGAAGGATGTCAAGTGCAGGTCACATGCACCTGTGAATGATCTCAGAAGTGTCTCAAACGTATGTCAAATGCAAACTGTAGTCCCTGAAACTCGATACAATCCAATGGAAATTTAGAGCATTGTTGTAAAATGAACCGCTGAGTCGCTAAATATAACAAATTAACACTTTTATCTCCTTTCCTTGCAGTGAGAGAGCAGCTAACTAAGAGAATCAGGAAGGAGATGCATCATGGGAATGCAACCTTTTTTTCCTAGGTGGAATGGCCACGTGTCCTATTTTATTAATACTTTCACTTGTATCTAACAATAGGGAGACCTTGTAAACAGAAAATCTTTTTGTAAAAAGTTAATGTAAGGGCCATTGTTTTATTGGATTGTGGTTATTTAACCAGTTGACATCCGCGGTGTTAAACCCCCTTCCCATCCAGGCCATTTTTCAGTATTCAGCGCTGCGGTACTTTAACTGACATTTATTCCGTCATGCAGCGCTGTACTGAAATTAAAAGCTCCACCACTGCACTGACATCATTAGTCTGTATTGTTTTAGAAAAACTGTCACATGACACTAAACAAGAATGTATCAGTACTTGTATCTGTGAGTACTTGGACACATATCAGTACTTGTACTTGAAAAAATGGTATCGGTGCATCACTTATATATATTTATAAAAACAAAATCATCCATTAAAACAGAGATGTACAAATTCCAGGAGCTCCGTGTCCTCCTTACAAATGACAGTTGCCTCCTTACTTTCTAATTTTTCTCTAGTCTGGTCCTGGAGCTGGAAAAGTATCTGTACTTGTACTTGTACCGAGTACGGTACTTGGTATCGGTGCATCCCTAGTAATAATAGCTTTCTCGTCAACCAGATGGATATTACCCCAGGTGCAGCCTCTGTCCTATTCAAGGTCTTCTTGGTATTGGTGCATCCCTA